ACTAAATGGCAAAATGGATTTTGTGATTTACTTGATTTATATGTGATTCAGTTAGCTGTCAAAATAGGATTTATTTAGGTTGCTACCATTACATTGAATCAGAAGGAGCTCTCAGAGTATTCAGTACTAATGGCAAAAGGGAGACATCCAACTATAGAGTGTACCCAGTTTACTCTTAGCAGGTAGCATTGCCTGGATGATCTCACCTTGACTTGGAAGTTGAAGCCTAATTAGTCCAGTTCAGGAAATATTAGGGCTGTAGACAAATTGGGGAATTGAAAGAAAATAAAAGAAAGCAAGCAACAATAAAATAAGAAATATTGTAGAAAAACTATATGGGCATGTCCTTGAAGTCAATAGAATTTCCAAGTTTGACTTGAAGATTTTACACTATTAACTCATATATAAACTGATTATTTGAGAGTAAAAAGAAGCACGTTGAAGATGTAATTTGGAAAGAATAAGTTGCAGCACACTTCTCTCAAATATACCTTCAACTGAGGCATAGGCAAAAAATCGAATATAGTTTCCAGACACTGAGACAGAATGGCATCACCAAGTTGGTACAGGGCATAGATGTAAAGCTGATTATCATCAGCATACTGATGAAGGTTTATCCCAAGGGTCAGCAACCGTAAACACTCAGAGCCATTTGGACCCATTTCCCACAGAAAAAAAAACACTGGAAGCCACAAAACCCTGCTGCTTCCCCCCCCCTAGCGCTCCACCGTTCCACCACTGCTGCTGCAGAGTGCCCTGCCACCGCTTTTCCCTACCTCCCCCACGCCAAGCACCCTGCCGCCACTTTTCCCTACCTCCCCTGTGCCGAACGCCGTGCCGCTGTGGCTTTCCACAGCAGCGAAGGTGGAGTTTGGGAGGCAGTGGCAGAGCATAGCCCAGGCATGGCTCAGCAGCAAAGCTCATCTTTCCCACTCAAGGTGCAGCAGCAGGATTGCTCTCAATAAGGAGGGCACACACGAGCGAGCAGCGCTCTTGGCTCTTATTGTTTGAGAGCAATTCCACTGCTGCGCCTCCGCTTTCTTCAGCCATGATCCTCCCTCCCCAGCCAGCCAGCTCTTCATGAATTTAACATGGACATAAAAATGTTTCACGATCTTTATCAATATTACAAAGAAAAGTTTAAGAACTTTAATTGTGCTTGATCAGGTTCACTCATTTTCCTCCAGTCACCCTCTTGGCATCTCTTACCCACTTCATCATCCTCTGAAAGCCAGAGGACTCACAATGATCCATACTCATAGAGAGGATCCTGCAATCCAATCCGAGCTGTCATAACCTTTCATTCCAGCATAATTATAGGTTATTCTCTATCTCTCTTTTTCTCCGTCTCTCTATCTCTGATTACAATGTTCTGTTTTTCAAATATTTTTATTAAGGATTATAAATGAAAAGAGTAAAAGCCAGTGCAAACTATAAAAACTACAAATAGAAAAATATAAAAGAAAAATTGCGGGGGGGGGGGGGAGAACAGAAAGACAAAAAAAAACTTTTCTCCTTCATCCCAATGTTCTTTACTCTCTCTCTCCCCCCTCCCTTTCTGCCCATTAATTAATTAATCCGGTCCAAGTGCCTGCATGTACCCACACACACGTGCACACACAAACTATTTCTATCTTGTTCTCGCTTTGCTACCTCCGGACTTGGCGCCGACTGGCTCGGCTTCCTCGGACAGCATCGCTCCTGGCAACAGCGGCGCAGAGCAACCTAAACTCTCCCGAAGCCTTCGCTCGCGCTTCTTTGGCAGAGGAACCGGGAGTCAGGGAAGGGAGATGCTGGAAAGGGAAAAGGCAGCGGCAGCAGCTAAGCTGGTTCCAAGTGCACTCCTGCGGGAATCTCGAACCTCTCACCCCCAAGTTGGCAAACCGGCTTCTGAATTGGGGAAGGGCGGAGGAAGCTGCTCCCCTTGGGTACTGTACTGTTGCGCGCTGCTGGAGATGGAGGGAAAGTGGGGGTCAATTGGGAGCTTAGCCCAAGAAGGAAGCTCTCTTTCTTCAACCATGATCCCCCCTCCCCAGCCAGCCAGCCTCGCCAATCTTCTCCTCACCTGGCCAGCCGGCCTCGCCAATCTCCTCCTCTGCACTCAATTGGCTGCTAGCAGCTTGGGTGGCTCTGCTCTGTCCGAGTTGAAGAAAACAGAGGCGCAGCAGAAAGCTTTTTCCCCCCCAAGGAGTTGAATTGATTTATTAAACTTTTTTAGTACTTTCTTTTTTTTGGTGGGACTGCAAATGGCGGAGGACTGGGAGCCACAGTAGAGGATGAAAGAGCCACATGCGGCTCCAGACTTACGGGTTGCCGACTCCTGGTCTATCCTATGCAATTGGATGACCTCACCTATAGGCTTGCATGTAGATGTCAAATAGGATTGCGAAAGAATGTTGAGCCTAGAAAGACCCCCCACAGAAGAGGTTGTGCACTAGACTCCCCCCATCAACAATTGGGATCAACCCCCGAGAAAGGAAGAAAACCAGTGCAGAACTGTACCTCCCACTCTTGATCCCCAGAGCTGATCCAGAAGTATACCGTGAACAAATGATGGAATCAAAAGCCACTAAAATCAAGAGTTAAGGTGGATGCACCACCTTCATCTGACTACCAGACATCATCCATAAGTAGAATCAATGCCATTTTTGGCACTATATGCAGGTTTGAAATCTGATTGAAAATGGTCCAGATAAGATTTCCTTTATCTTATGTGTTCCAGGATCCTCCTGAATAAATAAACTACGGTTTGGACATAAATTTTCAAGATTCAAATGGGAATTTTACCTATGCAATAAAAACTGGCCATATAGAAAGCATGGCAAGTTTAAGATCTCATTTTTTCTATATGACAGCTTTAACTTTGTAAATACTTATCTCTTGAAGATCTCAACCATGTAAGCCCTCACTATAGGCTGAAATGATAGCCCAGATGCAGTTCTTCTATTTTTTGAGATTATTAAATCCGGTAAATAAGGACAACCAAAAGAAATCTAGCTCTTCAGAATTCTCCTCTTTGGACCTGCAGATTCATGGTATCAAAGAAAATACCTAAAATGCTGCATGTTCTCAGTTCCTTTGATCCAGAAAATATTAACAGGACCAATCTGAAAAATTGTGAGACAACTAGTAAAATGCTAGTTTTATTAGTAGTAAATATACATTTACATTAAAAATGTGGATGAAAAATCTTTCATTCTACAGTCCACCTTATCTAGAGAATAGGCATTTCTTTTGAAGAATCAAAAATAAATAGGACATTAGGCTAGATGGAGGCATTATGCTTTAGTATTGACTGAAAGTCACCTTCTCTATATAATTCCTTCAGATAGGAACGGCTTGCTGCCCATCCAGGCAAAATGGAGATAAATGGGACGGGTCCACCCCAATCATATCAGAGAGGAGACATGTTAGGAAGGTCTAGGACAGGGGTAGGCAACCTTGGCTCTTTTATAACTCGTGGACTTCAACTCCCAGAATTCCTGAGCCAGCTCATAAAAGAGCCAAGGTTGCCTACCCCTGGTCTAGGACTACTTGGTGCGGACAGACGATGGGTCGCCCCTGCCATCTGGATGTGGGACTAATGGCCTTGGCCAAATTAGGGACAACTCACTGCTGCTAAACAATGAAGTGGGAAGAGGATAACATCTGTAGCAATTACACGTAAAAATATCTCAGCACTTGCAATTTTAGATACATATTGAAAATGATTTTAAAAGATAGTTTTTAAAATTCTAATGGTGTTTAGTTAATTATAGATTGTTGTTTCTTTTCCTTTTTAAAATGAATCAGATCCTCTCTTCGGCATTGTTTTTACTAATGAACATGAGGGATTAAAAAAATGACTACAGAAATTAGTGCTTTGACTGAAACTTCAATCTTAGAATGTTGTAACCCAGTGACAGCAAGCAGCTGTTCACTTGTATTGTTTGGATTTAATGTTTGAATTATAAATCTACTCAAAAGAGAACAAATCCATATTTGGAGTCCTGCAACCTTACAGTGAAAATAGCGCTGCCAGAGCCTTTCTTCAGAAGTCAGCAGGCAGCATGGAAGTATCAGTAATCAATACTGAAAGCCAAAACCCGTGCCTGCCTTCCTGGGAGCACTCGTTCTAGCTTGCCTCTTCTGCAATTTTGCCTCTTTGAACAAAAATGTTGCTCACCCCAAGCTTCTGATCAACACAGCATCTCCCCAGCAAAAGTGTGTGCATTGTGTGTTTGCATGATCTTAGAGACCACTCCTGGAGACCACAAAGCAAAAAACAATTTGGCAGAGCCAGCAGAAGCACGGGAATGACCCAAGATGCAACTGCAGGAAGAAATCTTCCCTTTTTTGGCCCTTGGCTTGTTGCATTTTGAGAGGCACCAAATCGGGGTGGATATGCATCTATTTCAAAAAGACTGTGAAAAATGATACCCTTTGAGAGCTTTGAAGGAAGGGGAATTAAACATCTGCACAGCTTTACTTATAACTATGTAATTTGCTGGCCTTCCTTTCAGGGGTGTATTTTTATGTCTGTGATTTATTTACCTGATCAGCAGGTAATCACTCCAGAGTAGCATTGCTGAGTGGTTGCTGCTCTTTTTGAGGAAGAATTAGAGAAGCACGTACCATAATTAATTAAACCCCATTACAATTTTAAAAACTCTTTGTCTTTTAAAATTGTTTTCAATATGTATCTAACATCATAACATCTTGCAAGTCTCGAGATATGTTTACGTGTGTAGAATGTTACTTCTTCCTGCTTTGTTGTCCTGTGGCTCTGAGTTGTCCCCACGTTCAGTTGGCTGGGGCCACTTGTCCCACAACCAGACGGCAGGGGCAGGGTGCCAAGTTGTCCCATTCCATGCTACGTATCTCATCAGTCAAGATAATAAAAGTTTCTGCGAAATACAGTTTTTGCAGATCAACACTGAAATTTTCTCCTACTCTAAACTTCACAGTGAATAGAGCATTCCAATGAAAAAATACAGTCACAGAAAGGAAAATAAATGTAAACCAAGTTTATTTTGCTTTTTAAGTAGTGTTCTTAAAGCACTACAGCATGGTAAACAATGTAAATTAGTAGAAGTCATCTCAAAAGCCAGAGTTCTTCTTTAATGAGCTTGTTAAAAAGATGCAGCCTATTCTAACAGGATAAATATTTTAACCATTTCACTTCGAGTTAATGAAGGCTCACAAATGAGCAACACTCCTCATTGAGGAAAACAAAAAGCTGTTGTCGACAAAGCGACAGCACACACACAAAAACAAAAGAACTGTGTAAAAATAACTAACTGTACTGTGTTCCCATATTTTTCCAAGTTGCTTTACAATGGGATGATATGCACATGATCTTGCTGCAAATTTGCCATATGACTTGCAAATATCAGTAGCCTAGCCTTATCACTTAACCCCAAAGCTGCTCATGTCTGATGATGCAGCATTCATCTTATTACTAACAATTAATTTGATGGATTTCTTTATTACCCTTTTTTCAAGACTGCAGAGCAGACTAGAAAATTATCCTTAATTAAAAGAAAAAAAGTGTTCTAACTGGAAAAATGTTTAATTTTGCAATAGACTTTACAAGTTATATGTTTTGCCTTTTTTTACTCTTAGCCACAAAATGGGCATGAAGTGTTTTATTTTTAAAATGCCTTAATTTTCAACTTCATGCAAATCTAAATAAAGATGACCAAAACAAAAAGCTTAAACAATGGAAGGATATTTCACAGAAAATTTCTTATACAAAAACACATAAGAAAAAAGGGCCACTAGGTGACATCTTAAATTTACAAATTGGCATCATTTTGGTCAACAAATATCCAAGTCCCGTTTTCTTCTACAACAAAGCAGCTGTACAGAAAGAAAACAGAAAAACTGGTTATTTTTGTTTTAATCACACATTTCCTCAGGAATTTCATGTGGATTAAGGATGCCAGGGACAGACATCTGAAGTTTGTGTTTTTCCTCCTGAGCCTGTCGAAGAGCTGTCTCTCTTTCTTCCAGGAACAAGTCAGATGTGTCTTCACCTGCAAATTCCTATGGAAATAAAATAATTTAGGAATTATAACTGAGCCATACAAGAAGTACTTTCTAAAAAAAATTAAAAAGGCACCAAACATACAGCCATTTCTCTTCAAATCTTGCTGAAGTAAATTTCATTTAAATACATTATTTTAGATTTATCTTCAAAGCAAGTTTTTTTTAAAAAAAAAAAAAACTTGTCCCTCTTTAAGTTAAAATTCCTTCTTTCCTTTAATCCCAATTTTTCAAAAGCTGACTGCATTGATCCTTTTTATCATACAACCACAGCATGTCACATTGGAGGTAGTTGGGCTTTTTTTTAGTATTATTTATTTATTTAGAAAAAGCTAAATAAGATTTTGGATTAAAGAGTTATATAGATAGTTCTTGAGTTACAATTGTAATTGGGAGCAGAACTTCTGTTGCTAAATACATGGTAGTAGAGTGATGTGTCAGATGTCTGCATCACTTAGCAACTGCAACCCCTGCAGTCCCGATTGCAGTCCAATGAAGATTGTGGGTCATTAACAGAGCACCTCCTGCCGGCTTCTAACAATCAAAGCCAGTGGGTAAGCTGCAGGAAGTTGGTGGGGGAGAGTTACCTAAGCTACCTGCAACTTTTGCTGCTGCCTTTTCCATTGTCTTTGCTTGTGGAAAGCTGGCAGGGTAGGTTGCAAATCTCAGTCACTTGATTGTGGGATGCTGCAGCAGTTTTAAATGTGAGTTGGTTGCTAAGCACTAAGATTATGATCATGTGATTGTGGAAGTGCTGGGATGGCTTGAACTTTGAAGGCCAGTGCTAAGCACCACTCGTTTAGCATCATTGTAACTTCAAATGGTTGCTGAACAAGTGGTTGTTAATCAAGGGTTACCTGTAAACAAATTAAAGATCCAGACAAATTTGGAACATTGAAAACTTTTACTATAAGATTTTGGAACTAACTATATGAAATAAACAGCTTTTTGTGGGAACCAAAATTATTTAATCTACTGTAAATCGTAACAGAGATAAGAAACTTTACTGACTAGTAGAGGGGCTAGAGACCACCCCCCAGACCCCTAAATTGCAAAGTTGCTCTCGATTTTAATTAATACTACATTTACAAAATGACACAAAATGCTATAAAATTTGAAATATTAGAGATCTTCAAAGAATGGAGCCATAAATTAGTAGCCACAATATCAACATTAATAGTAATGTCTGCTTCTATGGATAGACTATGTTTAAAAGATGTTAATGAAGGAATGACAGATGTAAAACAATCTTGCTTGATGCAGAAATAGTAGAATCAAACATATTGCATTAAAAATGTGTGGATTTGGAGATAAAAGACATTTAAAATGCAAATACAAGTGATAGCCCAAGAGAGTGACCCAGATAACATCTACTGGATATATAAAAGAAGCTGGCTAAAGTTTTCAAAATTAAAGGGGAAATATAAATGATAAACCAAGAAAATGACATGGATAGTGATTTTTACTGGATTTACAAGAGAGGCTTGCTAAAGCCTTGAAGACACCTTTGATATAGGAAAAAGAAAAACTGAAGGTAGACCAAATCCTACAATAATATCTGAGTACACTAGAGATCAAGATTGTCAGAAGTAGAAGGAAGGAATATTTGATTCGTAGCTGGCTGACCGGCCGTACTCAGCGGGTGGTCCTCAATGGAACTACATCTACATGGAGGGAAGTGTGTAGTGGGGTGCCCCAGGGCTCTGTTCTAGGCCCAGTGCTCTTCAACATCTTCATCAACGATCTGGACGAGGGGATAGATGGGGAACTCATCAAATTTGCGGATGACACCAAGCTGGCAGGAATAGCGAACACTCCAGAAGACAGGCTTAAGATACAGGAGGACCTGGACAGACTTGAACACTGGGCGCTATCTAACAAAATGAAATTCAATGTGAAAAAAGTAAGGTTCTACATTTAGGCAAGAAAAATCAAATGTACAGGTATACTATAGGGGATACCTCGCTCAATAGTAGTAACTGTGAGAGGGATCTCAGAGTCCTAGTGAACAATCATTTAAATATGAGCCAGCAGTGTGCTGCAGCTGCCAAAAAAGCCAACACAGTGCTGGGCTGCATTAACAGAGGGATAGAATCAAGATCACGTGAAGTATTAATACCACTTTACAATGCCTTAGTAAGGCCACACTTGGAATACTGCATCCAGTTTTGGTCACCACAATGTAAAAAAGATGCTGAGACTCTAGAAAGAGTAC